TGTAGTCATGAGCAAGAAGATGAAGCTGCTGCCAGAGAAGTGGCTCAAGACAAAGGGAGGAGGGAATTTAGCGCCTCCCCCCCCCACCCGTTTCCAGCTGGTGTTCCCCATTGCTGACCTGGAGGGCCATGGAGACAGTGATGCGGTTCTAAGGAGCCAGGCCCCTGGGGCACAGGACAGGGCAGAGCAGGACAGAGAGCAATGGCCTGGGAAGGGGAGGGGTTGGGGCAACAGCGAATCACCAGCACAGAAGGTGACTTAAAATGTTCTTCAAGTCCGCCTAGATCTGTTGAAGTTTCTGAGCCCTCTCACTGTTTTAAACAATTAACACATGTTAGAAAGGTGTTAAGGATACATTAGCACCAAACAGAGACTCTTTTGATTGATGGGTAAGAATTTTAAAAATAATGGAAAAGTGAATAGCTTTTTCACTCTTTGATTCAGACAATTTAATGTTGTGGTTTGACACACGTAGCATGATGTGGAGATAGTATCCACCAGTGTTACCCCAGTACTTACTCCTCACCAGCTCACATCAGGCACTGGTTGAGGGCTGCTGCAGGGCTCAAGGGCAGGGTGGTGTCAATCCCCAGCAGTCCAATGGCAGCAGAAGTGAGTGAAGGTCAGGGGTGGGCTCTGGTGGCAAGGCCTAGCACCAGGGCAGACAGGAGCAGGTGCTGGCAGGTGGCAGTGTGCACAAAGTGCTGTGGGCAGGGTGGGTGAGATATGCAGTCACTCCACCTTCACAGCTCCTCCCCTTCCATCTCCCACCCTTTTCTCTTTAGTTCCACATGCTTTTTACACCATCTCATCTGCTTCCATGCCTCCGGCTACCATCTCTTGGACAATCATAGCAAGTATTTGGTGAGTGCCTATGCCTTGCCAGTGCCCACATCTGTGTCTGAGCTCTAGCTGCTGCCTGGGTATCCCCACTGGAGGCCCTGCATCTAGGGGAGACTCCTCAAGTGCAGGAGTGGCCTCGCCACCTTCCTGCCTTGGCATCAGCCCATTCTCACTGAAGAGCGTCACCATCTGCTCAGTTGCTCAAGCTGGAAATGGCCTCACTCTGGACTCCTCCCTCTCCTCTGCCACCACACTCATGGGTCAGCAGTCCACTGAGCCCACCCCTCAGGAGTTATCCAGTTCCCCACTGGTCCTCACCCCCACCATTGCCACAGCTCAGGCCACCATCATCTCTTGCACGGAGTGCAGCGAAAGCCTCAGGCAGGCCCCCATCCACGTGTGCTCTCAGCGCGGGCCTCCTGGCACACTGCTTTCCCCCGCTAAGACCTTCAGGACCACACTCACGTCCGCAGCCCAGGTCAAGCCCACCTTATCCAGTCTGATTTTCAGCATCCTCAAGACCCATCTGCTCTTCCCTGTGACCTCCTTCCCACGGCACCTGGGGGCCAGCTGGCCTCGGGGATGCTGAGAACCAAAGGCTCCCCATCCCTCTTGTGGCCATCCTCTTGGAGGGATTCTCATTCAGGAATTGTTTAGGGTGTTGGAGAATGTGTCGATCAGAGCCGTGGTCAGGGAAACCTACGCCTCCACATGCAGAGGGGCTCCTATGACCAGCCCATGAGGGGCGCATGATACGATTTCAGAGTGGCCACTCTATCCTGCCAGCTTACAACTTCCCTGCCCATGATGGTTCCTACAGTCAGAGAGGTCTGGGTTCCAACCCAGAATATACCACTGTTTAGCTGTATAGACCAGTTGCTTAATCCCTCCAAACCTACATTTGCTCATGTGTAAAATGCATGTGACATCGCTACCTTGCAAAGTTATTAGGAGAAATTAGGGAGATAATGTGAAACTAGTGTCTGAGGTCAGATTCCCTACAAGTAGACCCTGATATGAGGATTCACGTGCAAGTCTTATATAATGGAAATGTGCCAGGAGAGAGTGGAGGGGGAACTGGGGGAAGCTGGGTGGGAAGGGAAGAAGGTGAACTGGGAAAAATGTCAGGCCAGGGCCAGCTTCAGCCATGAACCTGCAGGGGCTTTGCAGGTGGATCACATCCCAGGGTTGTCTCAGCCAGAGCCATAAGGCAGGACCACTGCCACTGGTTGAGGACAGTGCAGAGAGGGAAATGGAAGTTCCCGGGCACTTTCTGAATGAAGACGGGTAGAACAGAGTCCATTTGCCCAAGGACAATCCTACAAAGACAGAGTGGCTAACAAGAGATGCCAGGAGAGTGGGTGGAGCATCAACTTGGCCAGCGTGGCTGGGCTCACGATGAGCACCTAATAATGGTTGGCCCTTGTTGTGACAGTTTGTCATTTACTATTATGTAACAACACCAACAATTCCTTTTCTCCTTACTGTTCTTAATTTCCATGGCTTGGGTGGGCTGAGACTTTCAGACAGATGCTTTGGGCTTAGAGGGAATACAGGGAAATAAATCTGGCAAGAAGAAGAAGCCTAAGTCACCCCAGTTAGGTGGCAGAGATACCAGAGACTTGTTTCTCCATGGCTAGCTTACTTCTGGAGCGTCCTGACTCCCCATGCCCTATCCCCTCTCCCATCTGAAGGGGCACATCTAGGTCCTCCTCAGGGTGGGGGCTGGTGGGTGGAAACCTGGCCCTGAGCCCACGTGGACAGGGATAAGAGCATCCCCAGAGGAGTGGGGGTGGTGCCGGGGGCGGGGGAGCAGCTGAGTCAGTAAGCCTCACATGGTGAGGGGCAGCCTCCGCCTACCAGCAGGGCAACAGCAGCTGGAGGTGAAGGCTGCTGGGAGGGAGGCCAGGCCTCCCTGGGGGCAGCCACCCTGCTAGCATGGCCCAGCTTACCCCTCCTCCCTGCTGCCTGGTGGGCCTTGGGCCAGTGGAAGGCCTTGGAGGCTACGAGTATGTGGTGCCAGGGGATGTTTTAACAACATGCAGCCTGCCAAGAGCACATTATTCTCTTATAGAAATCCATGGGGATTGCCCAGGAGATGTTATATTTTTGTACCAAAAAAGAAAAAATTCTTTACAGCTCTAAAAGCCCATTGTGCTATGAATGATAGTGGGTGTTTCAGAATATGGATACTTTGTCAGGAAGCAGATAGGTACTCAAAGTTTATGTTGGATGTCCTTAGGACATTCCAGGTGGATGGAACAATTTGTGTAAAGGCAGAGAAGTAGGAAGGGCACGTCTGACAGCTTCAGAGAACAGAACGCTAACGGTTGTAAGTGATAGAAATTACACCACAAATTGGTCTAGGCAAACACAAGGAATTAATTGGTTCATGTGATTGAAAGAACGAGTAACTTTCAGCTTCGGGCATGGCTGGATCTAGGGGCTCAAACAATGTCTCTACCTTCCTGGCATTGGCTCTGCTCTTGGAAGGCCCTTGGTACTTGGTGACTTAGTCAGTTCCATTCTCCCATCCTCTCAACCTCAGACCCTAATTATTCCAGCAAAAGTCCCGTGGCTGACTTGGGTCATACATCTATCTCTGGCTGGCCAGGCCTGGTCCAGAGTCCCTTCTCTAAATTGTGGGCCTTTCTCAAACCCTATGGTTAATGTGGTTTGGGAGGTAAATCTCATGGATGTGTTACATGTTTTACTCTCCATCCTTTTTTTCAGAAATCTTACCTGCTTCCACAATTTCATTTCTCACCCCTGAGTGTCTCTAGCCTTGCTCTCTCTCAAGGGCCCCTGGGCTCCATTTCCAGTGCCCACAATGTTCTCCCCAATGAAAATAATGCAGATGAATTGAGTTCTTACTAAATGCTAAGCACAAGCTCTTTACATTGCTGTGTAATTGAATCCTCACCAGGGCAACAATACTACAAGATAGGCATTATTATTATCTCCATTGTATAGGTGAAGAAACTGAGGCATAGAGTTTATAGGTCGGACTCTAATCCTGACCAAATGACTAGACTCAAGGGCACATGGGATGGAACACTGATTGGCCAGATATGAGTCATGTTTCCGATATGGAGCCAGGCTGTGGGTCAGCTGCAATTGAACTGCATAGGTTGAGAGAGGGAAGGGGCTCTCCAAATAAAAGGCATCTAAGAAGAAGGGGGAATAATAAGGGAGGGGAGAAACAGAAGATGCCACCTAAATTAGGTGGCAACTGTTGGCAACCCACTTTGGACACATTTGGGGTAAAAGGGAGCTGTGCTATCCCAGGGAATACAAAGAAGATTTGAACAGTCAAAACACTGGAAGGGCAGGCTGCAGGGGGCCTTCAGGAACAACTGGAACCAGGTGCTCACACTGCCAGAATGCTCGGACCTTCATCTGAGCCTCTCTTCCTGTCTGCTTAAGTGGTTCCAAACACAGCTTCCTAAGAAGGGCTTGGATTGGCCAATTCTAGGTCACATGATCATATTTGCCCAATCAGCTGTGCCCTGGAGGAGAGGCCCACACCAGAACAAGGCAGCTCCTGGGAGTACCATGAGGTTGAAGTTGTGGTGGTTTCTAGTAGAAGTAGAGTAGGGTATAGGGCAGATAAAAATGTAGGTGTCCCTTGAGGGCCCGCAGGATATGTGTATGAACTGGGAAGCTCATAGCTGCAGGAAACAGAGAATGTCACACTGACCAGCTTAACCATAGGAAATTTATCTCATCTAAAAAGTCCAGAATAGGCTACCTCAGGGACCTAATGATGTCACCTTTCCGTTGCTTTGTTCAGCAGCTACGGCGTCAGCTCCATCCAAAGCAGGTGTCCCCCAGCCATAAAGTGGCCCCCAGTAGCAGCCGCCACAAGGGTGAGAAAAAGCCTCCTATCCAGCCACAAGATAGAAGTTCTTCCCTCTCATCTGAATGGGCCCACCTAGCAGTTGCCTAGACCAGTAACTGCCCCCTGGAGTGGCTCACTGTTTCCTGAGCCAGTCCTAGGTGGCCATGATCACCTCACTTAGTCAGGACCCACCCCAGAACTGAGATCTTCTCTAAAACCACTTGACCCCTCAACCAAAGGGTAGGGGGTAGAGTGCACACAGGGGGTCTACCCTGCTGCTCCCTTGTCTCACGGCCTCTCTGCCTCTGTCACGCAGGGGTCCTATGGCTGTCAGTGGTCTCCGAGGTGCTCTATATCCTGCTGCTGGTGGTTGGCTTCAGCCTCATGTGTCTCGAGCTCTTCCATTCCAGCAATGTCATCGACGGGCTCAAGCTCAACGCATTTGCAGCCATCTTCACGGTGCTTTCCGGTAAGGCAGAGGGCCTCAGGCGGTGAGGCAAGATGCACCATTACCAACCCTGCTTAGAGCAGAGGGAATGTGGGTGCCGGAGCCACCCAGGGGCTAAGTCCCGGCTGGGTGACCTTGGTAAATCACTTCTCTGAGCCTCAGTGTTACAATTTGTAAAGTGGAATCTGTCCGTTTACTCATTGACTCATTCATCATGTGTTTCTTTCACATGCTGGGCGCTGTGCTAATAAGTACTGGGGTGTTGTAGTGAACAGAAGCAGCCGGTTCCAGCCCTCATGGAGCTTTGCAGTGTGGGAGAGTGGTGGATTAGCTTGGGGTGGATTCCAGAGATGGACTCCCTACAGCTGGTGGATTGGATTTGCAGCACCAGGGAGAGGGAAGTGGTTATAAGAATGGGTGGACAGTGTGTCTCTCACAAGGATACCAAAGGGGAGACTATTTGTGATGGCCACATCACTCATCTGCTTTGAGACATCCATGTGGAGAGACCCAGCAAGAAACTGGATGAACAAAGACATCTGGAAGCTTGGGGGCGAGTGTGGGGTGGATAGAGATTGTGGGCAAAGGTCACGGAGCCAAGGATTTTGAGTGTTTTATGAAGAATGGGATGGCCAGCCGCATCATATGACTCAGGGAGGTGGACACAGAGGACTCCAAGACAAGGCCATCAGAGTACATGGCCAGGTGCCCAGAGTAGTTCCAACAGATGTGGGTCTTACAGGGTTAGGCAGGGAGTGTGCCAAAAGGGAGGAAAGGGAGCCCGTAAACTATAACTTCAGGCAGCCTGACAGATAGAGTGGTGGCTTGGCTGCGTAAGACATCTGTTCCTAAAAAGCCAAATGTAAATTGAATTTCTATAAATCTAATCCCATTCTTCACACATTGGAAGAACTCTCTATTTAATGAAACCGAGGCAAGGAGCCTTTTGGTAAAGGAAATAATCACCCCCTAATTGAGGTATGTATATATAACGGGGAATCCCTCAAAGACTAGAGAGCTGAATTCAAAAAATTACAGCACGCTCCGTTAACCACAATAGGCATGACTTATCATTCCCAGGAAGTGGGAAATCTAACCTTAGTAGTAAAGGAAAGAAAAGAAACAGATGGTGATCGTCATAGCACAGTGTCAGTTTTGGCTCCCACTGACCCCATTCCCAGCTATTCTGGACCAAGAGCCTATTTTATTCTTTTTCTTTTTCTTTCATCTTTTATGCATTTACTTAACCAACATCCATTGAAGGCCCGCAGGCATCAGGCACTGATGGTTTGCGTAAGACACAGACAAAACAACTTGGTCTTTGCCTTTCTGAGGTTCGCAGTTATGTGAGAGACACTCATCAAATAATATAAAATGGTGAGTTGGCCTCTGTGTACCTAGTACAGTGAGAGTCCTGCAGGCGGAGCACCCACGTTTGACCAGGGATGGGGGTGCATAGGGCAGAGCATGGGGAAGGAATCATTTGAGCTGAGACTTGGCAAAAAAATGAGTTTGCTTGATGGACAATTTGGCGAGGGCATTCTGAGTGGAAGGAACAGCCTGGGCAAAGGTCTAGAGGGGTGGCATATTCTTCTGGAATACTCTTTTGGAAACTTCAAGGGTGGGAAGGTGGAGAGTTAAGGAGATTCGAAGTACTGAGAGATGAGGTGGAGCTGGATGAGGGTTTAGTGCTTTTCAGTGGTCTTGAGATTTTACCATACAGGAAATAGGGAGTCATTAAATTCAGAGCAAAGGGTGATATGGTCAGGTTTGCATTTTGGGATGAGGGTTCAGGGTGTAGTACAGAGGAAATGAAGCAAGATTGGAGATGAAGAGGTGGCCAGGAAGTGAGAAAGGATGGGGCTCCACCCCAGTGCAGGGCAGTGGGAATGAGGGATGCAGGGAACACGCCCTCAACTAGAAGTGAAGTCAACAGGGCTCGTGGACCAACTAGATGAGGTGGCTGCTAGGGGGTAGGCATGGAAACCAGAGAATCTAGGTCAAGGATTCCTGGTTTGGAGTCCACAAAATTTAAGGGGCCCATGAACCCATGTGGGAAAGTCACATCTTTATTTCTCCAACTTGTAACTGACATTTAGCATGACCTTCAAATATGAATGGGGGCAACAAGCAAGGTAGCGAGTGGGGCAAGGAGCCTGTGGCATCGTCACCAGCAGCAAACCTCAGTTTTCATATCATGCTACAGTGGTTGCAGAAATCTTGAAATGCACTCCTTCAACAGTGCAATATTTAGGGGGGCTTCCATTGAATCTTGTTATGTAATGTGGTGATGAAGGACCACATATATTCTGTACAACCAAATTGTTTGGATATTTTGGTGTGTTTCAGTATAACTGGTTTCCTCTGTGATCCTATGTGTTTTATTTTGTGCAGCTGAACACATTATTCTGAGGAGGGACCTGTAGGTCCAGATGCCAGATCCCCCCAGTCTGGGTGTCCCCCTTGGCTGGCATTTGTTGGGGGATGCGATGAGAGGGGTTACACCCAAATGGGGAAGTTGGGCAAAGGGCTGGCAGGTGAGGTGATGGGGCAGCAGGGGCAGGGGGGCTGTGATGGGCTGTGGGGCACCCAGGCTCCTCTCCCCTGTCTGTGGCTTCTTCCCGCCTGCTTTTCCTGCCACCAAGCTCTGGAGAACTCCCCCACCCCCTTACCATGAGCCTTCAACCTGCTTGTTCCACTCACAGAGCAGAAGGTGGTGGTCAGTTCATGGCAGCTGTCTCCAGTTCTTCACACAGCCTCTCGTGGGGCAGGGGTGGGACTGTGTTGCCTCACCTCAAAGGGTTTATCAAAATTTTTACCCTTCAATAGAACCCCCAGTTTCCTTCCTAAAGAAATAAGACTGTCTCGGTAATTTCAGGCAGATTAACAATGCAGGGCTCAGGGAGGTTAATTGACTTGCCCAAGGTCACATAGCTGGTCAATTGTGGAGATGGGATTAAACCCAACAGCTGCTGGCTTCAAAGTCCTGTGCTCTTTTCACAGGATGGAGCTGCAGGAGTGATGGGCAGGAGGGAGAAGACTTTTAAGTCCTCAGAAAACAGTAACTGAGAATAATGTAGCAGCCAGATGATGTAATAAGTAGCAGGTGGTGGAAAGGATTTTTATATTCATGCCTGGGAGAAGGTAAACCCCGGGACACACTGGACCAGGAGAGAGCCTGTGTGGCCCAGCCCAGAGGACTGGGAGGTGAGCCCCTTGAGAGAAGGGCAAGGGGTGGTGAGAGGCTTGGAGGAGTGGGGTGGGCTTCTGGTTTGCTCTTATGGAAGGGAAGCTGTGGCAGGCAGTGTCTGGGAGAGCCCATCAGCTGAGTCCGTGGCAGGGGGAGGCTTGGGCTCTGATGTTGCCCTACCAGCTCACACTGAGGGGTCCTCAGCCCAAGGTCAACTCCCTGTAGGATAGAGAAGAAAGCAGAGTTGGGGCAGCCCCTACTTGATCCAATTATTATAATCAGTTGTTATGATGAACCAATTGATTAATTAATCATAATAACCAACACTGAGATGCCACCATGGGCGGGTGCTGGGCTAATGTGCCACATGTGTTAATATCTTTATTCCTCATGGTGTCCTTGTGAGGGAGGCACTAAAGTCCATTCTGCAGATGGGAAAACTGACTTACCGGCAATGACATAGCTAGTAAGTTGTTGAACTGCAGAGACTGCCACCCAAAGTGCTCTGAGCGGAGCTTACATACCTGGACTTCAGGCCGTCATTGTGTTGTTATGATTCCTAGCTGTTCTTGAATAAACTGAGGGGCAGATCCTGGCCCCAGGACCGGCCCTGTCACATGGTGAGGCAGTGGCTGAGGTGTTCCGACTCTTCAGCAAAGGGAGTGGGGGTCGGGGCCTGGCCAGGAGGCCTGCCTGCTGGGTTGGACAGGGGTTGTACAGATGGGGTCAGCCGGGGCTGAGTCAGGGGCTGTGATTGTTGGCCTCTGGCCCAGGGCCTAGAGCTCACAGTACTTCCAGGGAGCCAAGAAATGTTTTTAGATTGACTGCTTTTAAAATCAGAAGAAAAAAAAAGAATATAGACATAAGAATACCACTGCAGTCATAAAATGTGATTTTTAATATTGTTTTTAAGGAAGAACAGGCACATGGGTCAGCAGTGCCTGGGGCCCATGGAAGTCACAGTGTGGCCCTGCCCTGGGCCACAGCTTTCCTCAGGCTCTCAGAACTGAGCGGGACCGATTCCAGACCGGGGTGGCTCCTGCTGCCAGTGGCCACCCACCCCCACCCCGGTGGCTTCAGCCAACAGGTGCTGGAGAAGGTGGTGCCCCCAGGGCCACCGTCTCTTCCCCCAGGGACCAGAGTCTTCTATGCTTGGAGGGATGTGAGGGCAGGCTGGAGGACATCTGTTCTTCCTGGGTTCCTCTGAAAAATGAGGCTGGTCTACTTAGGATGAAAAAGGAAGTTATTTGGAGAATTCCTGTGTGGTTGAGCCAACTGTGGGCTTTTAGTAAAAACTGCGCTGGCATGAGAAGAAACGTGACCATCTCTGTGAAATAATCAGACTTTGTGGAGAAGTCAACAGGAGTACTTCATTAAGCAATAAGAAAAGGAAATTTTGCTAAAAAAAAAAAACAAAAAAGACCAGGGCTGAGGTGGCTCTTTGGAACCTGGGTTTTGGGAGCTGTTTTCAGTGCAAAGTGTGAGCTGAAGAGTAAGCCTGTGAGGTGGACACCATCCATGTATTTAGGACAGACGTCTGGGGACCTGGAGGCCTGCTGCCCGAGGAACAAAGCATACAGATCCTTCTGCGTTGCAGACGCCAGTGAGCCTCTGATACAGCCAGGATCCGAGCTGTGAGGCGTGCAGAGTGCCACTCCCCTGGGCCACCTGCAACTCCAAGAGCCGTGAGGCATGTGATGTGTGTGCCAGGAAGGCATGTTTGCGGAGCCACTTGCCTCACAGTCTGGCCTGATGCTGCCTTCTGAGAGTGATGTGAGCTGGGGAACCCATTTGGCTGATTTGCCTTTTTGCTGGCTGCCAGGAAGCTTGG